TTATCAACAAAAAAAAAAAAAATAAAAGGAGAATTGTTTATTAATTTAAACATAGGATTATTTTATGAAGCAGATTGCAGTTTTGTTTTTCTGATTCCACTACGTTTGATTTTTTTTCTTTTCGCGATAAATTTCGCACTCAATAAATTAATTCTTTTTATTCATAAATTTTATCATTAGGTTTTTTTTTTAAATTCCGTTGATCTTGCCTTGTTCCGGGTTTTAATATTTATGCTAGTGCCTTTTTTAACTATCGTTTCGGTTCGATAATTTTCAAGTGTTTTTATTTAGATTAATAAGTTTTCCTTTTATTTTATCGTTTCCCCCCGTATAATTAGGTATGAAATATATTGCGTTATTTAATCATTGGTTTTGTTTATATTATTTAATTTAGGAATTGTAATTATTTTTAAAAAATAAATATGAGAATTTTGTATTTTTTAAACTTGATTTTCTTGTCTAAACTTGCAAATTTTTTTATTCTTTTAAATGTTATTTTTCTACCATTTCTTTTTAAAGTTAGGAGTACCTTTCTTTTTTCTTTTACTTTATGCATTACACTTCTTCCTTGTAATTCGGGTTCGATAAAACATCGATTAACGACACTTTTTGGTCGATCCAGAAAACCGGGAAATTCAGACATCCGGGATAGCGATGGTCCCGAGCATCCCGGATAATTGGTTCTCTACTGTAGTGTTTTTATTTTTTAATGAATTTTAATAATTGAACACCTTTAATTTTCTTCAAATATATTACTAAGTTAATTGATAAAAAAATTAGAACACTAATGTTTAAATAAATCTTACTACATTCGACGTTAACATGTCTAAATACATGTGCGGCCCTTCATTAATCAACCTGCTGCGCAAGTGGCCCTTCACTCAAAAAGGCTGCGCACTCCTAAGTTAGATTGACACTTCATATGTGAAAATCCGATTATTAGAATGAAAGCTATTCAGGGTGATATCTTTTTTTATTTTGTGCACTGTACATAATGTAATCCTGATCAAAAGTCTTAATGAAAAAGAAATTAAAAGTTATACTATATACTTCAAAAGAGAATAAATCAAAAATTACTTCTAGCTTTTATATATTTTACCTAATTGAGAATTTTGTTTAAAATGACATTTTAGACATCTCATTTACCTTTTAGTAAACTCCACTGAAATTCATTTTTCATAAGAATTAAGCTGAAATCTTAAATTTAATAATTCTTAGATTAAAAATTCATAATGTCGGGCAATAACAGGTATTTTCAAATAACAGGTTCCAGCTGCTACCATACAAAATAATACCTGTTCCAAAATAACAGGTCTAAGGAAAAAAATTTCCACTTTTTTACATTTGAATGATAATTCAATTGTTGTTGCTGTAGTTAATTTACGTTGCACTAGAGCTGCACAATGGGCTATTAACCAATTAACCAATCATAACTGTTAACCAATAATAAAGCTAAAGTGTTCTCATAAAGTCCTCTTTTCGCTCTGTATATAAACAAAAACTGGTTTTGAAGTGAGCAAAAGTTTTCCCTTGCTCAAACGTACACAATTCAGAGCTTGCTACATAACAGAACCAGTTGAACCTCTTTCCTTGTTTTGGAGATAGTCTTACTTCAGAGGCAAATGTAAATATCAAAGTATAATAGTTAAGAGGCTTCACCCTGTTCGCGTTGTGCATTTTTATGAAAATTAAACTTCAATATAATCACTAAAATCAAAGTTGATTGTTTCCCAGGTTTTATATCACTCTTACGGGTCTAAAAACTAGAAGTAGGGCATATAATTTTTCTGTGAATATAGTATAATTTTGCATATCTGAAGACCATTGGGTAACAGACTTCTGCGATTCAAAAACATGCAATCAGAATAAATTTTGAAGCTTTGGCTAAACCCTGTTAACAAGACATTTACATGCACATGATTCTTCCACTAATTTGATTTGACAGTTTTTCTTAAATTTAAATATTTGAAACTGCGCCAGAATTTGCTAGTATCGTGATTCTTATTCACATAATTTTAATATCAAACATAAATTTTCGTATTTACCCGATTTAAAAGTTACGTGTGTTTTTCTTTAGAATCACTTTTAAATAATTTAGAATCTTTTTCAAATCATCGCCTTAAACATCAAGTATCGAACATTCCTGAAGCTCTGCACAGGTGTTGATTACTGATAAGCCAAAGGTTGAATGACGAGTTACTCACACTCCGTTTGCGCCGGCCGCTCTCACATGGGAATGTAAACAAGCATCGGTAAAGAAGTTATTAACTGGTAAAGAAGTAATTGCTTAAATTAAAATATTTAGGAATCACTTAATATAAGGTATGGGATTAACATGGAAAATATGCTAATTGCGAACAATGCAATGCGATTCATATTAACACAATTTAACATTGTACACTGCGATTCTTATTTATGTGAATTAAAAACCCAATATCAATTGGTTTGTATCATCGATTTGTATTTAACGAATTTTATTTTGTTGTTATAAATGTTGGTTTTTAAAACCCAATGTCGCAATTCGTATTCAGGCGAGTTTTAATTTCAATGTCGCAATTCGTATTCATGTGTTTTTAAAATCCAACAATGCGATATGTATACACGGGGTTGTAATATTAAAATTCGATTTTACATTTATTCACAACTTTAAAACTAGGCACTGCGATTTGTTTTTTGTGATCTAAACATGATGCATTGTGATCTGTATTTATGCGATTTAAAACTCAACAACGCAATTTGTATTTTCGCGATTTATTTAGTATCGTAATTTGTATTTTTGCAGTTTCAAAATCCAACGTCCTGATTCACATTCACGTAATTTTAAAATCCAATATCACGATTCATATGCATGCGATTTTTAAAATCAAATAGCGCAATTCATATTCAGGTGATTTTAAAAGCCAATATCACTGGTTCTTGTAAGAAATAAGTTTTTTCTTGAATTAGTTACTATAAAGGTGCGTTATTTTCCATAAGTAGTTACTTCAATTATAAATGCTTGTTCAAAAAATTATGTTAAATATGAAATATGTTTGGTATATTTTGATTTCGATATGATGTCAATAAATGCGATTCAGAGACAACCTATGTTTTTTTACCAAATTTGAAGAAAGTATTTCAAAGTTTATAATTAACTGTAATTCCTTATAGAATTTTCCAGCACATAAAAACATTATCATTTTTATTAATTCAAATGATTTATAAAGTCATAGTCGTGAAAATTTCAAATAAAATTTATTAAGCCAAGAACTAAATATGAGAAAGTCAGACGGAAAGTTTAACTGCACAATCTGTCAAGAATTCACAGCATTATGAGATCTGCCTCTGCCTTATCAGAGGTTTATTATGAGTGTGTATAGAAATATTGTTATAATTAACCTAAGTGACAGCAATTGTAAAAAATATGTTATTACTAAGATAGAAGTCTCGAATTGGGATCGTGTGTTCCTTAGGAACTAAATATAAAATCTAAAAGAGCTTCATTTTGAAATAAGTAATTTGAGTAATTAACCTAATTGGCAGTGTGCAATAAAATTAAAAAAAATTGTTTCATTTTGTTATTTTGAATTTACTGACAGGTAATTAGCTTGGGTCACAGTAATGCTAAATAAAGCCTTTTTACCAAGATTGAAGCCTCCACCAGTCTTTGGCGATCTGTTCCTTAACGGACTTATGGTACTTAACCTTATCGGATCAGAAAACAAATTAAAAGTGTTTCCTTTCGGTATTTTGTAATTAACAATGTAATAAAAGTTAATTATGTACTCTAGGTGACAGTGATGCTTAACAAGATAGAAGTCTCTAATTTCTGATGATTAGATTTTAAGAAAAAGTTAAAAGAGTCATTTTTATAAATTATCAAGGTATTTAGGGGCAATCGCACAAATTGACAGTAACACAAAAAATACATGTAATAACCAAAATAGAAGTCTCAAACCATATATTCCTTATCAAACAAAGATAAACTAAAAAAAAAGTTCTCATTTGATTTTTTGTAATTATCATAGTACCGCTAAGCATTGAGTCTGTATAGACAGAACTGGACACAAATTTGCACTATTAAACAGAGGCTTCCAAATAATCAACATGATTGACAAATATGGAGAAGCAAAGTGGTGAGTTTGTGAAGATGCAAGAGAGTGTGGAACTGTGAGTTAATGAAGGTGAATTGCCGGGTAGCTGCAGGTGACAAACATACTGTAAAAGCCTGAAACCTGATAAATCCTAGGTTTTATTGGTAAAATCTAGGATTTACAAAAGTGGATCAGTAAAAGTCCAAGCTATACTTCATTTCCTATTTGCAGATTTACTATTTCCTATTTGCAAATTTATACCTGGCAGTAGTACTTAACCTTAAAAAAAGGTTCAAACCTAGTTAAAAGTCCAAGTTTCACCAGTAAAACCTAGGATTAACCAACCAGACTTCGGACTTTTACTGTATCATATATGCATGATGTCTTCCTCTTAAGCAAGAGGAAGTAGGGTGGGAAAAGTTTTTGCCAAATTAAACTGTAAATAGAAAACTATAAAAAAATTATCTTTAGACAAGAAGTTTATTTCTTAAGAATGCAAAACCTTTGTGCGTACTTTGCATTTCTTTGTTCCCTATAACTATTTTATCAGATAATATATTGTATTATTTACACAGTTTTATTCCACGTGATTGCTTTCTGCCAATATTTTGTCACATATGATATCAAGATTGCTAGCATTAAAATACAAAATGCAAAAATTATTTAATATACATTCACATATAAAGAGACCAAAGAGACTCATTAACTAATAGAGTATAAAAAATTGCAAAATAATTTAAAGTAATTAAAAAAACAATAACCTCTCTTTATTCTTATCAGGATTGGTCAAACAAAAGCTTTTAACAATTTATTGCAACAACATAATTAATCAATTCTTTTTCAAATTAAAAATAAATCAATAAGAATGCAAATAAGTATTTAAACAAAAAATAGTAGTTGCAAACAAAATTATTAATATAGACTTACAGCATTTTTAAGAGCTTCATTGCACACAGGACAAGTTTCATCAAAAGGTTTGTTTTCCATATCATCAGCCTAAAAATTTTTTTTTATATTTAGTCATGAATAATTTTGATATCAAAACAAAAGGAGAAGAAGTAGAACATGGAAATTAAGAGGCATCCATAATTTATATCTTAAACTGTGATGGGACACTTAAATCTCAGAAAAAAATTTGATTTAAGTGATTAAATCCATAAAAATTCAAAAAAGGGTCCCTTGGTGCAATGTATTTACATCAACTGGTCTGAATGCAATGTGAATGGTCTCTATTTCTAACTTCTTCAAATACACTAATGAGTCAATAAAAATAATGATTTAATAACACGTTTACTTATTGGTAATAAAAATTTTATTTCACTTATATTCTAAGCAAAAGAGCTTTCAAAACAAATTTTTAAATCAAACATTTATTTTTGCTAAATCCTTTTTCTAATTAATTTTTGAGAATCTAAAATATCTTGCGAATTTAATTAGGTTGTAAATTTAGTTCTGAATAAATTAAGTTTTTTTTTACATTCAACTTGGACTAAAGGACTTTTCAAAAGCTATTTTTGACTATTTTTGATACCCTAACCATATAAAAACTAAAAATACTGTCTGTGATCTTTAGTACAATCTCCACTTACATAAACCTTTCTTTCTTATGACTGACACATTAAGTAGAATCAATATCATTTTAAAATCAATTAGAATGTTGACCTTCAACCGTTCCTTCCAATGTAACGTCATATTTTTAGTTTCGTTAGATTTTTATACTCATAAAAATCACTTCAAAAATAAAAGTCAAACTTTTTTGTGTTTCAAAGCTATGCGCTTTCTTTAACATTAGCCAGGCAAAAATTTTTAATAAATAATTTAAAACACTATTTCTTTTGATCTTGTCCAGCATTGAATGGGAGATGAAAGATTGATTCTTCTCTCTAAGTTCCTATCCAATGTGGTCCTTTTCAGTGGCAAAAAAGTCAGTAAAATATGGATAATTCAAATTGTATTACTAAAATTGTATTTTTTCCCGTTACGCGGAAATCAGCATGAAGTCCCATATACAATCATTAAGTTATAAGGATATGTTCTCAATGCTGGTAAATTTCTTCTTAAGGGATAGCATTTAATATTTTTCAATCATATATTTCTTGTGCTGAGCTCTATTCACTCCTTTTGTGACTGATTAGCCCCATTGAGTGGTTTTTCCCCAGTTAAAAAACAAGTTGTCTTCACCATTATCATGTAATTTATCGTAAATGGTTGCCCAGAAGCAGTGTAACATTTTCAATATATTTTTTACATATAATGTATTATTTTAAATAATATGTTTAAGTATACGTTTGTTAGTTTCCTAATTCTTAAGAAAGTCAAGCATTTTATTGTCAAAATAAATCTAGCATTTTATATTACATAGTTGTAAGTAAATATGCAAGCTATTTTTTTGCACTATAACAAAATTACATATCATAATACAAGTCTCTATTAGGAAGGAAGGGGTCGTTATATTAAGTCTCAACAGTAATTCCATATTTAACACCGTAAGTAATGAGGAATTAAAAAAATTCTAATACTACAAGAAACTAAGCAAAATTAAGTGCAATCACATGAAACAACAGTAAGCAAACAACATAAATGAAGAACTTACTTTTTTCAAGTTATTTAAATAAAATAACCTTCCTAGCTTATGTTTAAAGCTTTTTTCATAAGTAATGGCATCACTCTTGAATTGCAAAAGCATTGAAGGCATCTACAAAAATAAATATAAATATATTTAAAAAAGTTTTAAAACACTAATTTAAAATAAAGCAAAATCATATTACAAAATTTCTGAAAAAATAAATCATTAGTCTTACACTCTTTAAGATTCAATTAAGTAAATAAGTTCAGTTTCCATATCGCCAATAGTTCAATTGACTAGTTAATTCATCTAAAGAAAACTTAATAAAATTGTATTACTTTTATGGTTTAACACATTGAATGCCACGCTAAATTTACATGGTTTGCCCGTCTGGACAAAATGATTTTCTTAGTATGTATTGCATTAATTTCTTCAAACCATTTTAGTTACGATAATAATATAAAAAAATTAAAAGCATTAAAAATTTACTCAAATTATGTGTTTCTAATAAACTTGGCTTTGCCGGTCATTGGTGACCCCCGTGGAGCTATGAACAAACTCAGTGCTGGTCACCGGTGACCCCCCATGGCATTTAACGTGTTAAAATAATTTTGATTATTGTATATTAAAAATATCAAATAACATTATTTAAACTGAAATGATATCAAAAGATTATCGAACCAACTTATATGATATTTTGCAGGTTGCTTAAAGCATGTTTCATTCTCCAGTAAATTATGCTCAAAATGTGAACTTTGCTTGAAGGTTAATACATTTAAAATAAAAAATATATTTTAATTTCATGCTTAAAAGGACATTTAAGAAACTTCTATGTATCATAAACAGCAAATTTATGAGAACAAAAATAAAAATTTAAATAAATAAAATTTGATTTCTTTACATTTACAAATTACTATCTTCTCTTAACTTTTACAATATTTCAGTACCCTTTTTATTAAAGAACAGCACAGAACACTGGGAAAAGTTTTGCTCAGCTTCCCTGCCAATTTGAAGTAGAATAATTGAGGCGAAATGTGAAAATTCCAGTCATTCTTGTAGTTAAGTAGAGGGAAAGGTGAGAACTTTTTTTTCCACGTGTGTCAAGAGAAATGCATTAAAAATGCTTATCAGTGAACAGAAGGTGTAAGGATAATAAGAAAAATACATGACTGTACTTCAAAAAGTAAATATAATAAATTTAAAAAAGAGTAAAGAAGAATCATAAATTTTTTTAAATGAAATACAAAAACAGCTAAAATACGGCTATTTCTGATTCAATTATAAAGTAGGTATATAATTCGCTGTACGGTATAAAATTTTTATCCAGTTTTCAGAAAATCAAGATAAACCTTGCTTGATTTCCCTGCTATTTCGAAGCAAATAGAATGACTGAATCATCTTTGAAGCTGAGTAGATGGAAAAGTGGCATGGGAATTCTTCTTGTTCGAAAACTTGTTCGAAAATCAAAGATAGTAGTAAAAGTGTTTTAATTTAAATCATTTTTGAAAAGGGTGAACTCCAGAAGAGTTGCCTTTTAAAAACCATACCACTATCTAATCACTAGAGCCCGGATTTTGATGACCTAAAAAATCCCAATTAATGCCCTTAAAAATGCAAAAAATGCCCTTAAAAAGTGCGAAAAATGCGAAAATTGCAATAAAAATGCCTTATGACATGATTTAAATAAAGTAAAAATATTTAACTAAAACAATGTTTTACTCCTTAAAATTATTATGAGTCATTTAAAAAAATAAAGCAATGCAATACTTGTTCTACGTTCATTAAAGTTTGAAAAATATGTTTTACATCCTAAAATAACAAAAAAAAAGGAAAATATATTGACTCCAAAACATTTTCATTTTGTATAGAAACTTTAATGTATATAACAACTTCCATCTCATAATATTACTAAATATCAGAATTACATTGGATTATTTAATTTTTGTTGTTGATATTTTGAAATGTAAACGAGCGTCTCTTGTCTGAAAGTAAATTTTTATACCTGGAGAAGCTTCTTTCAACGTCTACTGATGTTATTGGTGCGTACTTGAAAAAGACGGTCTCACTTACTGACAATTCTTCTTCAATTTGAAAAGATGCTGCTTCACCTGTTAATATCCTAGAGATTTTCTTCACTGTTTGGAAGCCAGTGTAATAATAAAAAAATGATAAAAAAATAATAAAAATTGGAAAAAATTAACAAAAAATTGGAAAAATGTCTTAAAATGCAAAATAAGCCAAAAAATTTAATGAAAAATGCCCTATAAATCTAAAAAAATGCTCTAAAGGATAAAAAATGTCCAAAAATGCAAATGTCATCAAAATCCGGGCCTTACTAATCACTAATAAACCACAATCTAACAAGAGGAACCAAAAGCTTATGCTTAAAAATCCTGAGACGACACCTAAAATCAATAATATATGTAACAACAAATTTGGCAACTGAATGCTAAAATAACACTCTCTGCTTGGTAGAAAAATTAACCAATCTTTCAATTCTCAATGAAAGTCAAATGGAATGACGGAATCGTGGGGAAAGCACAGCTATACAAAGCAGAGAAAGAGGTTCTCAAATCTGTCACTGCCAGATTAATTACAAGGCAACATTGGAAAATTTTTACATTTTTATTTTTATTTTATTTATTTATTCATTTTGTATTTTTGAAAAATAAATCAAATTAAACAAAACATTTTGCTTTTGCTTTGATTTATGAGGGGAAAATATCAAGAAACAAAAGGTGGTAGGGAAATTATAAGAAAAATGCATCATTATGCTTTACTATATAAATATAATGAAGTAAAAATACAAATTTTTTATTGGAATAATAAAACAATTGATACTTTTTCATTAAAAATCACATTAAGAATATACTTAAGCTGTATTAAATAGTCTTTTAGCAATCCAGAAAACCGAGATAGCGATTGAACCCAGCATTTTGGGTAGTTGGTTCCCTACTGTATTTGTATATACTATTTCATTACAAAAATTTGACTAAAGAAAAATTAAATACTGTGTTCTTTTAAATGTCCATGTTTCGCATATTATACTTTCAAGTGCATTTAGAAATGTTAATCTAATGTGTAAACATAGTGCACACTGTTAAAGTAAGATCCACATTTTCCTAAATCTCTCAAAAATTCCATAACCATTCCAAAAACCACCTCAAGAATTCCATTGGTGAAAGTGAAAAAAATCCATTTATTGCAAAAAGTGAAAACAAGTGAATCACACACTAAATTTCAGAGTGCGCAAAAAATTTACATTTTGGAAAAATGGCAGATTTGAGATAAAATAATAATGACTAAAGCAGGTAATTAAGTGATTATTCAAAATAACGATTCGAAATTTGTGTTGAAAATAGGAGCCAACTTAATAAGTTTCAGATATTGCTGACATCTATTATAAATGAAGAATTCGATTCCAAGAAAACTGCATGACTATGCTTATTGAAGAAGATAAAACTTTAAATATGAAGAAAAAAAACTATACTTAACAGAACTAAACATAAATCTTGAACATAATTCAATTCCAAGAAAACTGCACAACAATGTTTATTGAAGAAGATAAAACTTTAAATATGAAGAAAGAAAACTATACTCAACAGAACTAAACATAACTCTTGAAGAGAAGAACATAATTCTATCCAAAGAAAAACATAACTAACTAAAATACAAGAACATTCACTTCCTTCTAGCTGAGACACAACAGGAAGCGACACAACATCCCTCAGGAAAGTGACACAGCAAGCAGAAAAACACTGCCTATCATTTATTTGTTTACATTTTTCAACAATTTGCAGATCGTAATAATATATCATAAATGAAATAGAAATTTTAAAAACTATGTGGAAATCCCTAACTGTTGAAAAAGTAATTCTATAAATGGGCAACTTGAAATTTCCCATGCAAGAAAATGTTGCATTAAAAAGCTATGAAAAAGTGTAGCAATAACTGATAAAAAATTAAATGGGAAATCTATGTGGGATTGCAGGTGAATAGTCAATAATTAAGTGAGAAACGCAAAACTTGAAGTTTGCCGCACGAAATAACATTTTATTAAAACATTAAGATTTTAAAAACCAAGTGAAAAGCTGTTTTAATAACTACTTAAAAAAAGGATCATTAAAACCATGCTGATTAACTCAGGAATAGTCAGTAACCGAGTGGACTGAGAAGTGATAACAATTTGAAAATCTTTCAAAAGAGCCATATTTCTTTTTCTAATATAAGCATATTTGTTTCTTTTTTTAAATGTTAGCACATGTTCTTCTAAACATTTTAATTAACAAATATTTTATTTAATTTAAACAAATTCATCACAATAACATTACATGTACGAGACAAAAATTAAATCCAGTTCCATTCAAGCAATGTGAGTTTAAAATATCTAAATTATACCTTGAATTTTTACTGTACGATTTCAAACCTTGAAATACTACTTATCTAACAAAGCGGACCAGCTGGTTGCTGGAGACAGCAAGTTATTAAAAAAATTTAAAACTGATATAACTAGAACCAAAATAATTTTGAAGTGCATCAAAACTATACAATCAAAAACTAGTCAATAAACCCCAAGTTTAATGACTGTTTTCAAAACTTATGAAATAATAATGACTAAAACTTATGAAATAATTATGACTTAAAAAAATTAACGGTAATCGGAAAATTTAGGAATATACGATTTTGTCACTTCACATTTTTAAATAATAAAAACATTAGGAATTTTAATTTTTAACAAACATTAATCTTGATTAAATTGAGGAAAAAACGCTTTTGTCATTTAGATAGCAGCTATATTCAACCTCGAACACAGTTCAGAATAAGTAATAGAAATTTTACAAGAAACTAACTAACTCCCTGGTATTACAGTCCATGTTGGACCATGGCCTCACTAACAATTTTCCTCCAAAGTCGCCTGTGCTCTAACTCTTTGCTTCCAGTTTTGGACTTTTAGAGTCTCAAGGTCTTTTTCCACCTCGTCAAACCACCTTTTGACCGGCCTTCCTCTTTTCGTTTGGCCCTGGCACTGCCCCTTGAATATCTTCTTAGTGCCTCTGTTTTCTCCATTCTCTCACGGTGTCCTAGCCATTGAATTCTCTTTGCTTTTACATAGTTGATTATATCTTTTTTTTTAATAGTCTTGCAATTTCAAAATATTATCGCCTTCTTCATTTTACAAGAAAACATAAAATACAAAACTTTAAAATTTCGAAAAGGCAAAATAATTATTTTTACTATAAAACTAAACTCAGTGGTGTGACAGCCCATAGAGGGCCAAGGTCTACTGTGCCCATCTCAGTTTTCTTGACCTTGGGCTCTGGGGTGCAGGAGCATATGTCCCGGTTAGGTGGTCAGCCGAACGCAAAACCCCCAGTGTTTAATTCCTAAGCATGCTTGGTACTCATTTATCGACCCACTGAAAGGATGAATGGCTGAGTCAATCTTGCCTGGCCCGAGGAAAGAACCCAGTACCTGTGGCACGAGAAAGCGAAGTGCTACCACTCAATCTAATTAGGGCCCGGGGCAAAAGCTTCTTTGGGACCCCCCTCTGCTTCAGTAATGACGAACCGAACTTTATGGATGTATTTAAATTTCTCACCTCATTATACATATTTAATAAAAAAATTGACTAGTACCTAAAACACTATGAAGTCCCCACCCCCCTCCAATGATCAAACGAAATATCATTCTGTCCATTTTATTGATTTTCTGACAATTCTATGTCCATCATGCCAAATGCATTTTTCTAATTGTTAATTTTGTCATCTAGCTGTGAAAAATTCATATCCTTGCTGACCTTAGGGTGGAATTCAGCTAAATTTTCGCAATTACGATGGCTCAATTAAGCCAATCAGAAGCTTATATTTTTGTAAACATATCACGTCTTGCATTATGTAAAAATGCAGGCTTTTGATTGGCCAAATTTGTCCATTGTTATTGCAAAACTTTAACTAAATTCTGCACTAGAAAGCCATGGATTTGCGAAAGATAGATTTCTTGTGTTCATACGATAGATGAATGAAGAAGCTAGCATAAAACTCACAGATTTTACACTGTACTGATATGGTTTAAAAAAAGGCCATTAAAGAAGGAAATCTAATATAAACTTTCTATACGATTTGGGGACCCCCTCTAAGTGGGGCCCGGGACAACTGCCCCGGGTCCCACTTGCCATTGCCCGATATACCCTACACTGATGTTTTTTTAAGGTCAAATGCATTGCCTGATATATATTAGCCCGATACTTGGTGTATACAGGGCAGTGGCACTTAACCTTAATCAGAGTTTGTCAAACTCTGGCCACCGGGCGTCTTTTACTATAAAAGGGCAATTCAAAACATAAATCAATATTCAGACTTTACATATTATAATGAAATACTGAACATATTACTTTCATTAACATAATAAAAGTTACGCATCAAAAACGACAAATATATAGATCTGAAATAATAATAATTGTAACTAGAAAATTTTTTATAAATATCTTAAATTACAATATTCAATACTAAACAACATTATTTTTTTAAATTTGAGGCAACAATACTTTACTTGACTAGTTGTTACAAGATACAACTTATTCGGATCTGAATTTTTTGATGATAAATCTGTTTCATCGCTGCAAAGTTGCATTGATGTTTTGGCCATGTCTACTTCATCCAAAGCATTAATGTAGTCATTCTGCAAAAGCCAACTATTTCGAGCTGCCTAAATCAGATTTCAAAATTCCATTAAAATTAATTATTGCTCTTTATTTTTTATAAAAAAAGAACACTTTTCAGTATTTTTTGACCAAATAAAAAACATTAATCAAGGAAACAGATGTGATGAAATACTGCTGCTCAAAATAATAAAATAAGATTCTAAGACAAATATGTAACTTAATTATCTAACTCTATAATATCTTATAATATTAGACAAAAATGAATGAACAAAAAAATTAAATATTTGAAAATGAACATAAGTATGTAGTAATTAAGAATAAAACTAAACTGAATTAATTCAAAACCATGATTAGAATAGATATCAAAAACATTTAATATCTTAGAATTTATTAGGAAAATTCTTGTATTACAAAAACTGTCCAAAAGAGTTAGAATTTCCATTCTTAAAGAAACTTTTTAAAAGTAACTTAAGTGCAAATGTTAAAATACCATTTCATCCAGAATTTTAATAAAACAACTTGGTTAACTTTCTGCAATTATAATTTGCATATGTAAAGCGATGCAATTTACAAAAATTTTATTCTGTAAAATAACAACTACATTATCTTTAGTAAAATACTTTCTTAAAATGAAATTATTAAACAAAGCAAAAACAAAAATCTATACAAAGAAAAAATTATTCTGAAGAATTCATCCTATTGCACAAGAAAGCTATTGAAAAAGGAAGAAAAATCTTTCCTGGATTTACTGTATTTTATGATAAATGCAATTTTCTAGTATTTAGCTTTTAACTATTTAAATAGACATACTTAAGAAATTATTTTAATATATTTTTTAAAATCTTAGAAATTAAAATTTTTTTATATGTAATTAAAATATTTTTATATGTATTTATTACTTTAAAATGTATAATTTTGATTAATAATATTAATCAAAACAAATTTTGACCAGCCATATCAAAAGAGAATTGAGCGATTATTAGTAATAGCTTTAAAATACAAAAAGTTATCTATTATTCGCTCTATTTTAAAAAATAAAATTAGCTAAAAGTCAAGATAATTAAAAACTAATTAGCCATTTGATTACAGAGAAAAGCAAAAAAAAAAAATTTTTTTTAGTTTGAAATCGAAATTAAAGTAAACCTAATGTTTTATGTTAATGTGTAAGTGGTTGAAGAGAGGAAAATTAAGAATAGATGTTAAATGCCCAGGTATCATGATATTGAATAATAAACAGTTGTTTGCTTGCATTCAAATAAAAAATTAGCTGTTACGTAATTTGAGATAAAAATATTTGCATCCATGGAATAATTAAATATGAATATAGTTTCAAGAACTAAATATACATAAAAAAATAGAAATAATAAAATTAAGAAATATATAATGCTTATATTGGCATTACATATGTAATGTTTATAATATCATGACAATAACTTAAAAAAAAGGTTAGAACAAACTTAACAGTTTAAATAGTATATAAATTGCATCTTACATGGCTCGAAATTCTGTAAAATTTTAATATGCAGGAGCTGGGTTGATGACTTAAGTGAATGCGATAAAGTTTAAAGCTTTTATTGTATGGCATAGTACAAGTTTTGTATCAACAAAACAGACGTTGGATTAATCAATATATTATCAATTAATAAATGGATGTTATATAAATAGGTGATATTAATGTCTCAAATGATGAGTAAACTTTTCACGAATCATCTAATGCAAGTAAGTTTCACATCAATTAAACACATGCTTTTTAAATACTTTATTTTCTAAATATTTTACTAGTAAATCGATTATATACAATCAATATAAATCAATGATATGAGCTTGCTGAATAATTTACTTGAATTTAAAATAGAAAAGTTACCTTCACGGTGCTATTTTCTCTTAAAAAGAATAAGCAGAAGAAGAGTATAAATAGGAAATCACATTAAACGGAAATCAGGTACAGTGAAACCTCCTGTTATGGACACTCCTGCAAAACGGACGCCTCTCAATACGGACATATTTTTAATTCCCCGGGAATCTTCTATGAATAAACCATTACGTACATTCTCCGCAAAGCGGACACTCCCGTAAACGGACGCGGACAGTCATTTTGGTCCTGAAAAGTTGTTTTTTATCTCTACAAACCGGGCACTACTTTTTCTAAATAAATTGCAAGCTAAAAAAATTCAACTTTTCACCATTTTTAAAGCATGTAAATAAAACTTTTTGCCTTAAACTTAATGGAATCAGAAACATCATTTATAAAAATAGATACAAAAATCTTTATAAAATAGTCTGCTTTTACTTAGATAAAATTGTATGCTTACACTGATAAGCAATACTGCACCTCTGAGGAATTAGAATTTATTCAATTAAAAAGTATTGTATCTTGTATAGATATTAAAGGAACTAAAATAATAGACAATAAAAAAAATTTGTTCGTAATAATTAAAGTATTGTTTGAAATTATAAGACAATAATAATTTGTCAAATAAATCAAAGCTAATGAAAATTGGATGCAAATATGTATTATATATATATATATTACTATTATTATAAAATAGGGAATAATGAATAGTGATTTGGTCGAATAGTCAAATATCTGGCCAAATAAAACAGCCGCCTACCCAGTGATCACACAACATTTAAAAAAAAAATCCTCAACAATTATTATTGTTTATGTAAAAATAGGCCTAGGCATTGTAAGAAATTTTATATTGTGATAGATCGTCAGTCAGACATCGCGATGTATCGCAATTTAACATGTTTGAAATTTATCAATCAAAAATCTATAAATCAATCAAAAATAAATCTATAACAACAGTAAATGTTAATTCTAAAAAAAAAATTGCTTCTATAACATCAATAGCGTTGCTTAATTTTTTCAATTAAAATAAAGATGGTTTGACTTAGGACTGTCTTAAAGATTGACTTGCCTTAAAGTAAAAACAAACACAAGCTTTATTTTAATTTTTTTTAAAATTAAAAATGACTTGGATTTTTTAAAAATAATAATAAAACTGTTACAAAATATTTTACATACATTACAAATTAAAAAAAAAAGAAAGAAATGTCCACTTAAATAAAACATTTTTTAAATTATTTGTTGAAAAAAAATGTGCTTTTGAAACATAGTTAGGCTTAATTACTTATTTAAAATAATAAAGTTGTATTGACTAATGGTCAAATGGTTTTAATGTAAGTTTTCTTATTTATTTATTATTATTTTCCTTTTTGAAAATGATATAGATTAAAGATTTAAATGTTTAAAAAAAATACTCACTATCTGAGAAATTATTAAACAAACATGTATTGAAGGAATTTAAAAAAAAAAAATTCATATTTAAGAGCACTGTTGTTAAATTATTGAAAAGCGTTAAAACATTGCTTAACTTTTTATTTAATTTCAAAAACATTTGGCCATTTTAACTAACACCCAAATTAATAAATCTGTTTCAATTTCCTCAAAAATTAAAGCAAATTAATTAAATGTAGGCTTTGTTTTAATTTTTTTAAAACTAAAAGCGACTAAAGATTTATTGGTTCAAAAACTAATCAAATTATCATATTTAAAAAACTAAACTCAGTGGAGCGACAGCCCATAGAGGGTCAAGGCCTACAGTGCCCATCTCAGTTTTCTTAACTTTGGGCTCAGGGGTGCAACGAGAATTAAATAAATTTTTAAAAAAATTAAGTTTTTATGACAAAATATAAATTACTTAAATACAAAATATATAAAATATTAAATTGTATCATTTTTTAAAAAAATCAATAAAGAATCTTTTTTTTAAATTCATGATTTCGTTTCAGTAATATATTAAGTTCAGAACGAAAATTTAAGATAACAGCGATCGCCAAGTAACAGTAGGTCTGCTGAAAATAATTGACAACGTTAAATCCAAACAGAAAAAAAAGTGACGAAATAATGTGCAATGATTGCTAAGTGACAAAAGTCTCACTGAAAATAATTTACTTGAAATGTTATATCAAGTCGAAATAAAACGCACAGTGAACGCAAGATAAGTCCCGCTGAAAATAAACTTCATGAAACGTAAAATCCTAAGGTCAAAAATGGCGCGTAAAGAAACTATGCATTGCGTTCTATAATTCATCGCTGATCCTCGCTCTTCGTTATTCAATATCGGCCTGCCGATATGTGCATTAAGTCGATAATTCGCGATACATCGATTTAAAAATGTCTAAGTGTAGTGCTCGTTAAAATTGCCGCATCGTAACAAAAACAAGAGTTTTTTTTAAAATGGGAATAAAAACAAAAAATCATTCTCAATTTTTATAAGAAAAATTTAACGTTGAAAATTACACCTTAAATGTTTCGAATCGTCGGATTTTTAGAAAAAATGTCGAAAAAGAAACTCTTTAAAATATGCTATCAAAATAAATAAAAAAACACAATTAATCAAAAAAGCAAAAGATAAACAGAAACTTTTCCTAAATTCTTAAGACAAAACTTGCAACGTAGAAAATCAATTTTCTATTTTACCGGTTATCTAATTATCTCTATACCTTTAAAAGAAAAAGTGGAGATAAAATATATCAGAAACGCTGTTAAAATGCCGCGCTATAAAAAAAACCCAGCAAAAGTGAAAGAAGAAAACAAACATTTCACTCTTTAAAAAAAAAAAAAAAGTGCTGATGATAAAACGACGAAAATGACTTTCCTAATAAAAATTATACTGCGCCGAATATTCGTAATATCCCTTATATTAAAAAAATGGAGTCATTTACAAAATTCAATTTCAGTAGAAAATCTGATACAATGAAAAAATTTACTTAGCCTAGTGACGATCACTAGATGATCCATTGCTGTTAAATTATATCTAAAATTTATGTTTAAAATTAATATCAATAGATGGCGCTGTGCCAATTATTTACTTTCTCATATTTGTTATGTTTTTATTCCCTCTTGCGCTGTCCATATGAAATAAACGTTGTGTTCGTTTCTCTGGAGTCATGTTTATTTTGGATATCCAAGTATCTTTAGAGTACAGATTTAATATGGTGCCGAAATTCTTGGAATAGGGGACTTTTTATGGAATTG